GCTCAGTTCATTATCTTCCTCTGGCCCTGTCTGGTTTGAAACATACTGGGTTAAAAACCACTCGGTACCTCAGAAGATGGTTCAAAAGTCGGTTGCTATCAACCCAAATTCCTGACATTTAGTGCTCTCTACATGTATGAAAAACCAATCCTTGTTGTGATAGTACCATTTGGATGTAGTTACATGTACATTGAATTGTTTTGAATTTATATTACATGAACATTAGCATCTTGATTATTTTTCCATCAAGCATTTGTAAATGATACCTGTAATGCAGTAACATGTACAACAGAAAATACATGCAAGGCAGGAAGGTGTGATGGCTTATGTGTAAACCATTCTAATGGGATAACCCACATGAAACCATGGTTGCTATTGAAATCACTGGTCAGCAGTGTCAGTTTTTTATGCTAATCTTCTAAGGATGAAAGCCGTTTATCGTGGTTCATGCAACTAAATCTAACCAGGGGCATACAGATTCATTGCATACGTTGACAGCATTTTTATATACACTGTACTAGTTGGTTTTCATTGTGTGGTGCCTCTCTGAGCAGTGAATGATATAAAATGTTTTCTTATGCTGTCATCAAATGAAGAAGTGATTCTCTCAAGAACCATACACTTTGATTTTCCCCCCTTCTTTCCCTTTTTTTTCCAGTGTCAATGACAAGACTGATTTGGATGTGATTAGGGAGAATCATCAATTCTTGTGGGAACCCAAAGATGAAGTTGAGACCAGCTGGGCCAAGAGGCTTGCCAAGCGCTACTGGGATAAACTCTTTAAGGAATACTGCATTGCAGACCTCAGCAGATACAAAGAAAACAAGGTACATATACAAGGGACAGGAAATCATTCAAATTGAACTTCAAACACTTAACCCTGACTGCTTCTTTCTCCCCTGTCTAGTATTTCAACCAGACCACCAAACCAAAGCAAATTTTCACGGCACTCTGATCCATTTGAACCAAACTAAACACTGAAGTCATTTTTTTAGGCATGTTCATGAAAACCTCACAAACAAGCTTAAATGTGCTTGTGTTTGGCATTGTTGCATGTAACCCCAATACTAACCCATGCACACTCCCATTTAATGCTGTTACACAGTAATTTAGGTACTCGATCCTGACATTTTGTAAAATCACCCAAAATTTGGCATCCATTGTTTGCACCCAGATTCGCCAGGTTAACATTGTGGCCAATAATTAGTTCTTTCTTTCTCGTAAGGTAGCAAGTTCAGCTGTGTCTGTAAACAGACCCTTTTTTTAAAATCCTTGTTTTCAATTGAAATATCAACCAATTCTATCGGCCAAAAGTGTAAACATGCCTTTCCTTGTTTCTGATTTCCCAGATTGCACTTCGATGGAGAGTTGAGAAAGAGGTTGTGGAGGGCAAAGGTCATTTCAGTTGTGGTAACAAGCGCTGCACTGAGTGTGAAGGTCTACGAAGTTGGGAGGTCAACTTTGCGTACGTTGAACACGGAGATAAGAAGAATGCACTTGTTAAACTAAGTAAGTATTCTGAGAACAGTTGTTAGATCCACTCTAGAGTTATCTTGTCATATTTTGTTTCTGGAGGATGGTAGACGATTGCCTTAATCCTAACCTCCTAGGGACCATTGAAATCCTGCAGCATGGTTAGGGTTATCAGTTATGGAGTGGTATGTCCTACCAGAAGCGTTGGTCTCAACAGTGGCATGCAGTCTGTGAATGAACAAAATGGATGCTTTTGTCACAGTGTTTCCTGAGGCCAGCACTGTGTACACATTGGGCCACACATACTGCGGGGACGCACCTTTTCCTAGCCATGTGGTCCAGGAATTCCTAACAAAGGAAACTGTCTAGATATCTGTCCTATGCCCTTAATGAGAGGAATGCCTATCCACACTTACTTGTTATCGGGTCATGTGGAAAACACAAATGTTGAAATATAGAGGTTGCAGGGACCAAACATGTGGGGACAGTTTTTTGTTCCCACAACGCAGTTCTTACTCTCCTAACAAACAAAGTTTCTAGGCTTTTGTACGAGACACAGTACTGCACTTAACAAAGTTCAAGAGAGACAAATTGCATCTACAAGGGGGTCACTGTAATTTCTGGCATGTGACTGGACAGAATCTGTTCAACACTTTTGACCTGTTAGACTTTAAGTTTGAGTCATTTGGTAGGTCCCTGTGGTATACAGGTGACTTGCAGACTAGTAGTACCAAACCTGACAAAATCAAGCACAGTCCAAGACATGGTACCTCTATCCAGTCACTCCAGGGAGCAACTGCTGTGTGTCCCTATATAACTCAAACAAAATCCTACATCATCACCCTTGAACTTTGTTCCTCAATCCAACAAAGTTAAACAAGTTTATAATGTATGGTATTGAATCAGCCAAAACTTGACAAACCTACTCTGTAGGGACAAAAGAATTGTCCCCATAACATTTTTGGTCCCCACAGCATCTATATTTCAAATTGTCGTCTTTTAGTCTGTAGTTGTGTGGACTAGACACTTGTTGAAAGCTAGATGTTGTAGGGACCCAAAATAAATTTTTGTCTTCACAACTGGGCCCCAACTATACCCTGAGTGCATCAAAGACTTACCCACTTCTTCATGTTCTTGTATACTATTCCATTGAGGAGAGGACTCTTTGTTCCTGCACTGTAGTACTCTTCCATGGATTAAGCACAGGTACTTGCCACAGTGGACAATAGACTGACCACTGGGGACTAGGGAACATCCCTTGTTCCCCTTAAGTTCTCTTCTCTATGGTGAAGTAAAGTGAAATGGGTGCATACACATTGATTGGCCATTTTGTCTGATTCTAACATGAGTATCTAGGATATGGCACTGGCCTTGCTGTGGCAATGAAATTCAAGCTTGGCCTATGCTTTGTTCAAATTTTGGTGCTTTTGGAGAACAGTGGTTGATTCATTATTGTCTGGACGAGTTTAGGCTGCACTTTTCTGCTTTCCTTCAAACAGGATTGTGTCCGGAGTGTTCCTACAAGCTCAATTACCACCATAAGCGCCGTGATGTGACACGGCAACCAACCAAAAGACCATCCAGCAGGGAGGTAAGAGAAAACTCACCCAAAGGGAAGAGATCCAAGAGGAAATCCAAACAGAAGGAGAAGCACAAACACAAGAAACCTCATAAGAAGAAGAGGAAGGAATCATCATCTTCATCGTCATCCGAGGAGGAAGATGATGGAGAACCATCAGGGAGGAAAGCTCAAGGTTTGAAGAAAAATCGTAGCTTTCCTTAGATTGGAGCTGAAGTTTTTGGCAAAATAACATTTCAGCACCTAAGTCAGCATCACAATAATGGCATGTGATATAATGTACGGTAGTCCTCAGACAGTAGCCATAGACTGTAGTCTAGAGCACTTTTACAATTATTAGCCTGTTCATTTGGCCGTGAGATCAGTTTTCTGGGGCAATTTGTGATCAGCAAAATCCCTTGTTTTGCCCTCACACATGCCTGTATATACTTCAGGGTACATGCAATTATGTTGAAGACCCTTGAGTTGTATATTTGTTTTAGGGCTGGCGATATTGATTTTTTTTCAGTATCTGTACTTTCTTCTTGTGATATCACCAACATGATAAAACTACTGACAAATTACAGCACTGTCACAGTTTGCACTTGGTCAAAGTTACATTGTGATGTTTAAAATTCTGTGAACATAACCTCAGAAAAGCTGTACAATTAAAGATAACCAGGTAAGATATCTCTTTCTGGGTAATTGCAGGCTGAGGAAAATAAAATTACCAAACTGTCAAATAACAGTGTTTTTTAATGAAAGGGAATCTGTTTCCTTGGATGATATTCTAATGTTGGCAGTGTATCTGTCATAGCCTCCAGAGCTAATGTGTACGATGCACTACCGTTACACCTCATCACAACACTTCCCCTGCGCTACTGAGAGTGCAAATACTTGTAGATTGTGTTGATATTTGCATTTGAGTTCTGGATATTTGTATATGTCAGACAAACAAAGACCATTGCATTGTAACCACTTAGCAACTGATCCAATCCTGTACTATTCCTAGTGCTTTAATGCATGACAGAGTGAACACTGATGGGTGATTTCTTAATGTCATTATTGTATAGATGAAGCAGGGAGCAGTGATGTGTCTGACAGCAAGTTCTGGAGTGGGCCTGCACCCATTGTAGAAGACAAGTCAAGGTATCATTTCCTGCCATTTTTTCAAATTGGAAATAGCATTGCTAGTTGTATACATTGAGCATTAATTTGGAATGTCCATGGCTGTGCCTTTTCAATCAGGCTCATCCAGTGTATAAGTGTTGGCCCTTCCCAAAATTGAATTTCTGCTAAACAAGACTACCACTAAATGAAAGAATCATTTCCTTAAACCAGTATTAATGTCCAAGGAAATGTTAAGAATTCTAATTGCTTGATCATCAAGCTTACGTGTGTTTGCGCTAGCCATTTTGACCCTGATTTGTGGCAGTTACTTTATGTTTTTCATCTTTTTTTTTCTTGGTCAATGTTGTCAATTTCAGGGAGGAAGAATTTGAGGACTATTTCCAAGACATGTTCCTTTGAACTCCCTGTGAGTTGCACTTCCTCCAGTCGTAAAAGGGGCCAAGACCAACCTGTGTTTACCCTGGCTGTGTTGGTACTCATTGTGCAGTATATGGACATTGATTTAGAACCATTCACCATGGACTACATATGAAAGTAAATATACCAAAAAAACAGCCATTGTCCGTGCATGGTGGCCATTGACAGTTAACCTTTGATGATCCAAGAAAGTTGTTGAATCTGGACTAGACTTGCAGCACAATTTGGGTCTAACTATTGGGAACACAAAATTTTTGGGGGGTGTCTTATGAGGGACAGCCTACTTTTTGGTAGTTATTATATGTTTATGTATATGAAACTGAAATTATTGGGGAAGTGTAGGGGACACTCACGTCAAGTGAGGGGTACATATCCCCTATCCTGTAGTTTCACTGATTAGACAGACTTTTATTTACTTTTTATGAAATGCTGCTCAATTGGCAGTTTGTTCTTTCTCAAATATATGTGGGTCATTGGACCAGGTTGGGACAGAAAGTATCATGACAATTGTGATTCTCATCATTGGCTCTATTAATTTAAGTTCTTTAAAAAAAATGATTACAGTCAAAACTACCTTTGTCAAAAGAGATGCCATCTCAATTGTTATGTTTTTCATTGAAATGGTATTTAACATAAGCCAGAACTGTTTGCCTAATAGATTAGTACACTGCCTTTGCTACGCCGCTGTTAGTAAGCAACAACTTTGCAAAACGAGCGCACACGGAAAGTAAGTACATAATAAAGTCAAACAATCTGTAAATTTTTTTGCCTGAAGTGCTGTCTTTATTTTAAACAAACAAATTTTTGCAGAGTTTTGCCCATTTTTCATAAACCGTTCATCCAAGTTTTTCAATACTACAGAATGCCTTCAGACACCTATTAAGAATACTATCTCAGGAGTTATCTACAGAACCAGTCTACAGAGCCAATTTTTTTGGGGGGGCTAGACCTTCGCACATGGCATCACCTTTTAACTTTGGTTAATGCTCTTTCACACTGAGAGTAAACAAAATGAAACCCTATGTACATGTACAGCACATTTTCAAGTATTTGGCATGCAATAGCCAATGTAATAGATCTTGGTGAAAGCAAGGGTCTATCAGAGTTGAACAAATTTGTTAGGTAATTCTTGAAGGTTGGCATGATGGATCTACGATAGATAGGAGGTTTGCGGATACACCACATGGATTATCTCTTTTGTGTTCTGAAAAGAACAGGTACTCACACATAGAAAAGAGAAAATCCACATGGTGTCTCCGCAAACCTCCAACCTAACATATCTGTTGATTCATTATGAAAGAAAAAGATCCTGAACTCAAAATTTGAGTCCCAATTTGATGTCGCAATTGACTCTGTTTTGCTACGAAGTTGCATTGCATAACTTTGCATGAGAAGACTGAAGATCTACCACACTCAAATGTATGTTCAGAGTACTTAATACATGGCACACTATAACAATCATGCCAGACAAAATGCAGTGGCGTCAAATTTTGAATCCAATAACAGTTCACAAAACATTAGCTTGTTGAATGTATGTGATATTACAATGGTCTGACTATTGGTAACAAAAGGTGTATAAGTACCTTAATTGCTCAAAAACTAATAGTAATAATATAGCTCCTGTCTTCTCCTTTAATGAAACACGGTGTCTTGTCTGGATAAACTCATTGGCAACATGACAGGATGTTGGAGTAGATCCTTCGTCATGTCATGTTCGATTGCAAGGCTGCATAGGTGAGTCAGTCGGCCATTGCCCATGGTAGCACACACATAAGTCTTCACCCTTTTCATTATGGTAGAAACTTCTCTCCTCTGTTGCTGATGTAAAAGGAATGGTACATACCAGTTGGAAGAAGCAGAGTAGGTGAGGGAATGTTGATTTTGATGTATACAGACGTTCCATAGTGGACTTGAACTCTCTTGTGCCCGAGGAATTTGTATTCTGTTAGATGAATGTTTTAAAGTTGGTAACTGCACTGCACTCGATCATAGAGGATGCTGAAGTCATTGTGGCAAGTTGAAGTTGTACTGACTCATGATTGGCTGAAATAGAATGGGCAGCGTTGTGTAATATGAATGTGCAGTCACTCTGAGTGTCTAACAGAGCATATGTCAGAACTTCTATTGATGGAGACTCCATCAACAAAACCCACATTGGGACTACCATGGAAGTCCCCTGTCCACTTCTATCTGGCCGCTGCATAATACCTCTGCAACTCTTTGGATTTCTCTCCCATAGGCGACTTCTCTTCCACATGACTGACATTAACACTTTACTCTGCTGTACTCATCATGCAGGATTGTTGATGCTTTTTTTGCATCTGTCGCAAGTCATTTTTCATCTGCATTCCTTGGAGAGGTGACCTCTCTAGAGGGAGCCAAAGCATAATCTGGCTTTGTGAATAACTTTCCATTTGTACACACAAGGCTTAGAGCCAAAGCCAGGACACTTATGTTGTGGTCCGTCTTCTTCCTATACTGACATGGCTGTGGCTGGAAGGTACTCTTGGTTGGTGCCTGGCTTTTTTTGACTTTTTGTTGATTTTGTTTGACCCAACTGTTAGTGTTGTACCCCTGCTTTGGTCAGCTGTTCACCCCCTTCCGCCTATCTCCTCTGCGTCTGATAGGTCAGCTGCTTTTAGGGCATGCAAGAAGAAGGTGGGATTACAAGCTACCGCGGTTCCTTATGCATGAACTTCACAAACTCTTCAAAACCAGGGTAGTTGCGAGTTTCATCAAAGTTCTGTGTAACTTGCCAATTGCATTGTGCTGTAGTCCAGTCTGACAACTGGGAGGCAGACATTGGTTCTCCTCACAGTTATCAAGTATTCTCAGAGTTGGGACATGGGGAATGGCATCCTTGCATGCTTTACAAAAGTCTGCAAACTGCTGTAGACCGTTACCAGGCTGTCTGGACCTTGAAGGCTTGCCTGTAATGCTCCTCAAGTAGTCACCATGCACCATCATATGACTCATCTGATGTGCTGTAAACGAAACCTTCTGCAGCCTTTTAGTGCTTCACCACCTTGCCACTTAGGTATCTTTTTAAGTAGTACACTCTTTCTGGTGTGGAGATTAACTTCAACTCAATAAGTGTCCTAAAGCTGGTGTTCCACTAACACATTTGATAGGCTCTCCCGTAAACATGCTGGGTTCTAGAGGAGGCAATTATGAATTATCAAATAGTTTCAGAGACTGCAGGCAAGAGCTGCGTCATCACCACCTTCTGATGTTTGAACTGGACTCAGTCGTGTCTCTTGAGCATCATGTTTAACTCGATTTGCTCAGGATGTGGCTCATCAAGAGGGTCACCTGTGTGACTATTCTCTTGACTGTACTTGCATTTCTGGTCAAACTCAGCATGTGCCTAGCCCAACTTTCTTTCTTTTTCCAGTCATTCTGTCTAATTTCTTTTCTTTTCACGGAGTAGCTGCATGTCTTCTTGCTGCCATTGCAGTTCACCTAGCTCTGCTTCCTTCTGTGTGACTTCCAACATCTGGATTTCTGCCTTTCAGGCTGTGAATTCAGCGGCAACCCGTCTGATAGATAATTTGTCAGACAGGTAAGACAGATCGATGCATTTCTAGAGAAAATTGAAGCGTTGTCATCGGTGTGCAGCAGTTGTCTCGACTCAATAGAAATGTGCACTGTCTGCATCATTGAAAGGGGATTAAGGGCCATCATTTCCTGCTTGGTGAACGGTTTCTACATGTATTTTGACTTGGGGCCTAAAATCTGGTGCACTGAGTTATCTGATTGCACATTAACAAAATGATTTGAATTCCCCAGACTAAAGGCATTGTTGCTTTACCTTGTGATTCAGGGCAAGCTTTTGCATAGCAACCACCATCTCTGGAATGGACTGGTTCCTTTATGCCCTCCTTATCCATTGGGAACAGTGTATTGTTGCAAGGCGTCTCTTATGTAACTAAGCAAAAGCTTGCCCAGAATCATTAGGTATAGCAACAGTGGTTTTAGTAAGGAGAATTCAAGTTGTTATGTTCACGTTAATTTAAAGAACTCAGTGTACCAGATTTGGGTCGAAGTTAACTTGCAAAAGGCCTGTTGACGGATGCCCTAAAGAAAAAGTCCATTTTCATCCAATGTTGTAGATGTCTCTGGGATGGTAGCCAGCACAACGTTTGGGGATTTTCTCCAGCCAGTCCTTAACAGTACTGTTGTCCACACCACCATTCTCACCACTCATCTTGCCATTAACCCTAACACTCCTCAATCCTTCACCTGTTGGAGGACTGAGGACTGTTAGGGTTAATGATGCTGTGCCATTTTGGGAATCACTCAAACACAGAAAAGCATTTGTTGCCTTGATGTGGGAAACTCCAGGCTCTTTTCTTGAAGAAGTGGTCCAGAACCGGAAACAATCGCACTGTGGCATCCTTGATCCATTCAAACAGGAGAGCATTGATTTCATTGCCCATCTTACAAATTTTCCTCTTCCGATTAAGAGGAGCCTTCCCTTCAAATTCCTCTGTCCACTCACTATTCCATTTCGTGATGTTTTGGATCTGGATCTTCCTGCAGTGGTGGCCTTGCACTCCCAAATTCTTAATGATCACGTGGCAGCTCATCTTCTCTTCCTGCATCCGGATCACGTCTATTTCCATTTCCAGTGGAAGTTGATTCCAGAAACTCTTTCTAGGATTCAGACTTGAAGGATTCGGAGCCATATTCTCTTCTTCGAAACCAGCGATGTTAAAAACCACAGCTTTACTGGAGAAAAGCTTTAACATTTCACTCAAAAACATTCTTGCTTTCCTTCACCTTCACCTGAAAGTGTTGACAGGAGGGACCCCCAGAGCATCAGTGGAACTCTTGGTGGCAGTTCTGACTGGCTCTATCGTGCTGCTCCCCGTATGAAATGACAACGAAGGTGGATTACATAATATTTCCATGCTTGAATCATCATTTTGTGGCATGTATTCCATGCTGCTCGTCCTCTGCCTAGCCTTACTCCATTCATCATGGGCTGGGAATAAGACCGCAGCTCTTGGCTTTCTTTTCCATCAATGAAAACAGCCACAATATTGGCTACAGTACTGTTAAACTCTTGACCATACCATCTGACTTGGGATTATAAGCAGTCGTTCTGGTCTACTTCACACCAAATACCAGTATCTGGCACATTTAACCGTAAACTTTAGATCCAAAATTCTCACACTGGTTTGAATGCCACTCTTGTGGCACACCAAGCCAGCATATAAGCTCCTGCACTATTTAGAGTGCTGCTGTCTTGGTGGTGGAATCTGGAAGGGGGTATCTGTCGATATCTACTAATAGACAGATGTTTTGTGCATATATCAACATTCTGATGGTACTTTACGGAAATTTCACATCAGGGTGACAGGGGCTACTTTCATAAATCATCTTACAGTTGGTTGACAAGTCTGGGCTGAAATGCCAGCAATGAATCTGTCGACAGTCACAGTTATCAGGTGCATATCAGTCAGAGTTTTCAGACCCAGCAATCAATGGAGATCATTTGGCACGACAATGAAGGTGGCGCTGTGTACTTCACCGGTACAAATTTTGTTGACAGGTATCTCAGCCTCACCGAGGGGTCTGACTTTAGGGCCGTTCCACATGACAAGTTGCACCTTTGTGGGCTGCACTTGGTCTTGGCGAATGAAGCGCTAACAAATTGTGTTTACGTCAGCACCAGTGTCCACTTGAAAGCGGATGTTGCAGCCATTCACAGCCAGCTTAGCGGTGAGAGTGTTCTTCCTATTGCTGCTCACGTTTGCGAGGTATGCATAGTTGTTATCATAGTCGATATCAGAGTCTGTGATGAAATCTGCATCCTCACATATGGCATGCACCCTAGTTTTCTTACACTTGGCCTTGAAGTGATTCTTGCCTCCGCAGTTAGAACATGATTTGCCCCAAGCTGGACAGTCAGTCTTTCTCATTAAGTGCACGAGACCACAGTAATTACACTCACGCCTTTTGTTAGCAGATGATGACTTGGCAGGCACTTTGAGTCTGAGGCTTGTCTCGTGCCACGGACCAGTTTGACAGAAGGGACCTCCGGTGCAGAGCGCAGAACTTTCCCTTGTATGGGAGCATTTTCTGCTGCCTTGCAAATGTTCACACATGACACCAGCGTGAGTTTGGTCTCCCGTAGCAGTAGTTTCTGAGTTTCCTGGTCATGTATCCTGAGGATATGGTCTCTGAGTATGGAGTCCTGCGAGTCGCTGTGATAATTACAAGTCTTCATCATACTGTGGATGGCTGCGAGAAATGACTCAAAAGATTCACCCTCCTTCTGGTCCCTTTTATTAAAAAGACACCGTTCATATGTTTTGTTGACTTCGCCGATTGTAAAGGAGTCGAATTTAGCAAGGATTTCAGCTGTGGTGTGGGCATTCTCCTCAGTATCAAACTGAAAGCCATCATTCATTCTTAGGTCTTCAAGTGCATGTAGCAACAGAGCAACTTGATATGCCCTATCATGTGTATCAAGCTTAGCAACGATAGCATAGTTCATCCACTTTTGCTTAAACAGCTTCCAGTTCTTAGACAGGACCCTGATATTACCAAAGTCTGGTGGATGAGGAGATTTAATACCACTAACAGGTGCTGCAGTAGCCATTATGGCAGAGTAGGTAAGTATTTATCAGAGTCAATGTGTAAATAAGGCAAAAAAAACATGTGTCCGAATACTGGGCAACAGTCAAGCACTCGTTTACATGTACATGTACAGTAGTACATACCGTGTGTACGCGTTACATGCAGCCACGATCTCGGCGGATTTCCAGACCGTTCAAAAGTCACAATTTGCAGCGTGTCAACAACTGTCACAGAGAGTCATTTGCACTCCAGCTTTGTCATTATAGACTCCAGCACCGCTGCCACCATGTTACATGACCCGGCAAGGGATTTACATCCTTTAGAAATTGGAGGGTATCTGCACTCGCTGGAGAGAGCTTTTATTTCTCAGACCGTCAGAATCCTGGCGACAGAGGGCGTACTTCCTTTTCTACTCAACATTAAGTATCTGATAGTAGACTTTACTAC